GAGATTTGTTTCTTTTTTGTCGAGAAAGATGAATTATATTAACCTTCTTTTTTTAACTTAAGTAAATAATCATTTTTAACACTTATAGGGCTAATTTCGGATTAACACACAAGATTAATTCTAAGGGGACAACATTCTGAACAGTTATTCTAAGGGGACACTTACGTTGCATTTATGTTCCAAATTAGCAATTTTCTGTTTTATTTTTCTTGCAGGTGATAATATTTGCGGGGTCGGAGACAACGTATGTTACATTAGAGTGGGCTATGGCGAACCTTCTAAACCATCCAGACGTTCTAGTGAAAATCAAGGCCGAATTAAACGACGTCGTTTCGGTAGAAGGGCGTTTGATGGAGGAATCAGATGCTAGCACTTGTACATATCTCAATAATGTGATCTCAGAGACTCTCCGTCTGTATCCAGCAACGCCAATGCTGATCCCACACGCGTCGTCCGATGACTGTAAAGTTGGTGAGTATGATATTCCACGTGGCACATGGCTATTCATCAACGCGTGGGCGATTCATAGAGACCCAGAGGTGTGGGATGAGCCTGAGGCTTTTAAGCCGGAAAGGTTTGACAGTGAGGAGTGGAAGACCCAACATGGTAACTTTCTACCGTTCGGAATAGGTAGAAGAGCGTGTCCAGGAATGGGGCAGGCCCAACTTGTATTGGGCTTTGCTTTAGGTTCATTGATACAATGTTTTGATTGGGAGAAGGTTGAAGACATGGCTGTTGACATGTCGGAAGGAAAAGGTCTTACCGTGCCTAAAGCTGTGCCTTTAGTTGCTAAGTGCAAGTCTTCTTCAATCCTAGACAATGTTGTATTCTAATTTGTATTTTTATCTCTGATTTGTTGGGAAACTTAGTTATTTAATTATGAATCAAGGTTGCTCACTTGATTATCTTTATACATATCTCAAAAACGCAAAATTATTAATGCCTAAATCCCAAATGTTTGAAAGAAAAACAGTATTTTCTTTTCTTTCTTCCTAAACTCTCATTGGTCTACTCAGATTCTCCCAACTCCAATTTGACTCATCGGAATCAAACCATTATCCCTGAATCCTCTGATGTATCCACCACCACTATTGTGGTTTCTCTGCATCTCCGTCATGTAACTCCTCACCTCAGCCTTAATCATCTCCTGCACAACGGCCATAAACTCACCACCGTTACCATCAAACGCTTTTCCCATTTCTTCAATCGCACCTCTGAATCCACTAGAGAACGGTAAGAGCGACACTGTGTTGTTGTTTTGGCGGTTCAAAGTGTTGACATTAGTTGACTCGTGACTACGGTTTGACTCCTCGCTGACGTCAGCACCAGGAAGCGACAAGCTCAGGCTGAGGTCATCAGAAAACGACGACGTCTCGGTAGGAAGCGGCAACATAATAACACCACCAGCACGCGGAACAGGTTTAAAAACCTCAACAGAGGGCAAAACAGGAAATGTGCTCGAATCGCTTACATCAGATCCACTTGGGCTTCCTGGGCTCATATAAAGCCCATTAACAACAGGAGAAGCACCATCGCTCACCGATCTCTTCTTCACCGGCCGGTGATCCTCCGCCAAACCACCGCATTTCCTCTTAAGCGTCGAGTTCCAGTGATTCTTCACGGCGTTGTCCGTACGACCGTTGAGAAGACGAGCAATCGTGGCCCATCTATTACCGAACTGCTCGTGCGCACGCACGATCGTCTCGTCTTCCTCCGCCGTGAACGGACGGTGCTCAACCTCCGGCGAAAGCTGGTTACACCACCGTAACCGACACGATTTTCCCGATCTACCGGGAATTGATTTGCTGATCACCGTCCAGTTTCTAGGACCGTGTTTAACCACGAGGTTACGAAGCTGCTCGTCCTCTTCAGGACTCCATGGACCTTTGATACGATCAGACATTAGAAGATGATAAACTCTGTTTTGTTCGAGAAGATAGTGAGAGAAGACAAAGATATTTATACAGTTATTTTTTAAGAGTTTTTGTAACCGGGAACCAGTTCAGACGGTGGAGAAAGTCATGGGGGGATGCTTCTTCCACGCAAGTTCAAAGTTTTGGGATACAGCTGTTAATGGACACTTGTCGTGATAATAATACGTCGATGTGTTTCTTTTTGTCGTTTTGCTATTTTATTGAAAAGCTTTCAGATCTTTACGTTTCGTACCCTTGAGCGTGTGGAGATCAATCGATTTCAGTTTAAGCAAAGATGTGACTGCACGCGCATATGGTTCGCGTGGCGAAAGTTGGAAACTTGGAAGTTTAAAGAGACAATCACGAAACCCAACTAGCAAAGCTATTGATATTACTCGTACAATTTCAGTTGAAATTAAATTTTCGGACAAAATGAAATGAAAATAAATATCTGAAAGAAAGGCGAGAACGGTTAGGTTTAGGTAAGGTCAGTTTGTTTTATGTTAAGTCTGACTTTAGAATATAGCATAAGCCAGGCTGTGTACCACTCCACAAGATTGTATAAAATGATACAAGTTGTCTATAAAAAGGAATTAGACAAAACACAAGCATACCAAATTTATATGTATTTGTCTCCTTGACAGGACTAATGTTTAATTTGGTTAAACTGAACAAATCGAGATATCAAAAATACTGCCTGTGGGATAAGTTTAATGTATTTCTTTCGGTTATTGAGAATTTGAGATGTTTCTTCTAAATTAACACTAAAAGACGTGAAGATATTCGCTGTTTTTGATTTATAATAGTCTTTTCGGTTTAAGGAAAACCCTTTGATGTACAAAACCCAAATCTAAAGCTCATCTGCTTAAATATATGATGTAGCCTATACTTTGGGGATCTTTTGTCGAATATTATGAGTGAGTCTGTTTATACCACTGGTAAGAGATTATTGTGAAGGGAACAATAAGATGCAATCATGTAGCGACCTTGCTTATTTGTAATTAACCTGTTTATGAAGCATTGGTTAACGATATACTTATTTGTCCAACCTAACAATACAGTCCCTCATTTTTCTTCTTATATGATGTTGTAGAAAGTTTATGATGTTTCAAATATAAGATGTTTTAGGATTTAAGATATATTTTGAAATTTTAAGATTAATTTTTATTTTATTAAAAACTGTTCAACCAAAAAAAATTTACAATCTTGTTTATAATTGATTGAATGATATTAAAATTATATTTTTAAAAACTATTTAGAAAAATGTAAATAACTTAATATTCATGCACTAAGCCAAAATATCATATAAAAAGAAACGATAGAGTATTATATACACTCTTTGCTTGTTGTTGCTACGATTAGTGGTCGGGAGTGTCGGTTATGGTCTGCTAATTTTGAAAGCATTTTCATAAACAAAATAAAAATATATAATTTGTTGGCTGATTGATGATAATGATGGGGATTGACGATGTCACTCATGAATCTTGGTCAAGTCCATAATTCGTGAAGATGTTAATCAAATTTACATTCTCAAACTGTGGTCAATCTTTGTTCTTTTAAATCACTATTTCATGACACTTTATGAACGGTAATGTAATATTTAGAACAATAGTTTGACTGATTCATAAATTATAGTAGCAACATATATGGTACAAATTTACATTTTACTATATGTAAAAAACTGAGTAAGATTTGAGCTATTTTATTCTAAATTATATAGTACTCAAGAATATAGTGAGTTTTAAAACATAACATGCCAAAATCTTCGATAGAAAAAGCATACAAAAATACATGGAAAGTTGAATACACAAGCGTAGATCAATTATTGATTGGAGTGGAGATATTTTTGGCCATGGTCTATTTCTCATACAACGTGATGACCAGAACATTGAAAACGTTATAAAAATACCGTCCACATATTATTTTCTTTATCACACACCGTCCAAGATTACAAATTTTTTTTTTCTCCTAAGGAAATCATTGCCTCTCTTGTATGTAGAGAGAGTGGTCAGTGGTGCACAAGTAAGCACGTGGAACATGCACCACTTCGACAAAATACAATAATACATTTTTAAACTTAAATCTACCAGAACTGGACAAAAACTACACAGCTGTGTTCCAGTAAGTAAAAAAAAGAAGTAATGTTAATATTTTCATTACTTTTTTCGGGGGGGGGGGGGGGGGGGGGCGGGNGGGTGCCGGTAAATGTTGTTTTCTCTGTCGTTTAAGCTGCAACTATAATTACTATTGGTCTATACGGGTTAGACCGTTGGATATAATTCTTCAACTAGCGTAGCTAGAGGTTTTTTTGTAAGCTTTTAAAAGCTCGAAGCAGTTTTAAACTAAATCACACATTCATTTAAGTTTTAGTTGCGTATAATAGAAAGATGACGTTGCACATTCTCTTATCTTTGGCCATATGCACATTCTCTTATCTTTCCCACACGTGTGCATGCATCCACAACGCATACATCCGCATTTAATATCGTTGTTTCAATGACGGTGCAGGTTTACTGAGCTTCTTGCTTAAGAATTGAGATAAATAGTAGAGTTAATTTAGCTCAATATACTAGAAGAATAAAGTATTTAGGGATTTACCTTATTTTGAAGGGAGAAAATAGTAATGGAGGGAAGAGAGAAAACGTGAAATAGGGTATAAAATTAAATATAAAGTTTTGTGTGTATATGGAGTGTAAATACTCTAAATAGTATTGGTCGTCTGAGCTGTGTTTAATCCACACACATGGCACACCCAACACCTTTACTAGTTGGCTTAAAAGTGATTCTTTGTTGGACGAAATATAAAACTGACTCGGTTCGGTTTTTCTTCTTTCATGGTTAGTAAATTTAGTCGATTTGTTCACACCCAAAAAATATTTAGTCGATTTGTACCAAGATAACTTATTTATGTTTTTGTTATTGTTGGGTTCTGCATAATGCATGTTTATATAATTCTAAGATGGAATTATGAAATTCACTACTGAAATACATCTACGATTCATTTATGTCGTAGATCCAAGTATTTTTCAGTCGCAGATTTTGATACTAATATTTATCACTGATAATAATGCATGGAATCAGTTTGTACGAAGTACGACTCGTGAACAAGCAAAACAGAGGACAATATGCATAAAGTTATAGAAACAAAATGACAATTTGCATCATAGTGCGAAACTTTTTGTTTGCCCACATTGCCCGCCGGCATTTTTGACTTTATATTTAATCATTTTCAGAACCAGAACCAAATTATTAAAGTAATATGTCTACACTATTTGTTGGTGATCACTTACTTTACTACTATTTTCAGAAACAAAATAGTTCTCTTGTGGAGAAAACATCGAGAATTATTGTGGTACAGAATGAGATATTGAGATATGTAAATATTACAAGAAAAAGTGTTGGGCGGTTCTAACTGTAACTTGAGAACGTCATAGTGCCTATTATTGTTCATAAGCATTGATATTGTCATTTGGATTGTATGTGTGGTTAAAGAAGGGTCCAAGAAGAGCCGCCCTATAAATGGGCTTTTGTTGTCAAAGTGGTGGAGCACAAATTGGAATGGTATGTATGATTGTGATTAGGTCATTTGTCTTTTTCAATTGTTTTATTTCTGCATCGTCTTCAAACATTCAAATCAATCCCATTTTAATTAATTTCCTTACAAATACTGTTTGTTGATATGTAAACTGTGTATTATCCTAATCAAAATGTGTGGATCTTGCCCATTTGACCTGCTGCAAGGTGGATGGGTATCGAACAATTTGAAATTTTTTGCTCAAATGTAGGTTGAACTAATTTTAAGCGGAGTGAATGTAGATCAACCAGAATGATTTGAAAATACTAATAACCTCTAAATTTTTAATTTTTATAACATGTTGCGGTAAAAATAGAAATTATTGCATATATTTACTCTAAACCATCACCATAAATGACAGAAATACCTTAAAGCGGATCACTGTATACGTCGGATATCTCTTTGTCCAGAAATGAATGGCCGTCTCATCGAAAAAATCAGCTGTTATCAAAGGTTCTTATGTAGCTACAAGACATGGCTACTGGGGAGTTCTTAATGGTTCAGCCACTGGTTCTGAATGGAATGGCTGAGTTTGTTATAGACGGTGAAGCCACTAGTGTTGACCTTAGCCGGTTTAGTCCTTCTCGGTTAACCAAAAGAAGAGGAGAGGTTCAGTGTATTTCTTGGTTATCAAAGCCACTCTTGTGGATGTTATCTCTTTTTTAAACAAATATAATCATAGGAGTTACGATAATATTAATGATGCATACTGCGTGAATAGGTTTTGTAATTGTTGTGCATCGTATCAAAATGTATTTTCTTTGTAATATTTTCGACAATACGAAAAGTTTAAAACATTATACTAAGCGAACCAAATGTCCAAAATGTAAATCTCGATTTGCATAAATTTTAGTGAAAGCCGTAACGGCTGATCACGGGCTCTTTGCACTAATTTCAGTAAACTTTTTATCCATTTTACTTTCTGTAGTATTATTTTATTTGTGAATCTCAGTGAAGTGTTCTAAAGTGAAAAAAAAAACAGCAGAAGGGAGAATCATGTGCCCAACCAATGGATAGGCTGACTGACTGACTACAATAAAGCTTTGGATTTTCATTTGTTATGGGCTTCACTGCACATTAGATTTTGCTTACCCGTTAAGGGACGTATAACCAATCCAATGAGAATAAGGTATAAATTCATTATCTTAAAAGTATCTTATCTTTTGTTTTTAAAATAATTAATCCTGGCATCTTCTTACACGTGATTTGCTAAATTTTATTCCATAGCTTTTTCATACCTGAAGCTCTTTCCGAGCTTTTGCCCAATTCCTTTATAGCTTAAGATATCTAGAAAGATTCCATACAAACATTTTTTGAAAAGGAAACACCTATGTGACCAAATAATAAAGTAGTAATAATAGTAACCAATTAATATGAGGAGAATGCCAAGACACATTACTTACCTCTTTGGAAAGCTAAATAATAAATGTTCTTTTTTCGTCAAAAATAATAAATGCTCTAAATTTATTGAGTGAAGGATAAATATTTTATGTTCTAAACATTTTCAATTCTTTTCAATTCGATGATTAGATATGAATATTGAATTATGATAACTAATTTTGTGAAAAGGCGCGTATATATCTTTATTTATGTCACTTCAGTAGCAAAGCAAAGGGCGTTTTAAGCCTTTGTCGTCTTAAAATCTCAATAATACTGTATTGTTATTAAAAAAAAATATCAAGAACATAATTCAATATCATGGCCCGTTTCAGTTAATCATTATAATCACACGTCTTTGTTAAAAGCTTGCAGGATAGTAGCTTATTACCAAAATTGCTTCGATGTGTTCACTTCATCGCTTGATAGACTTGTCAAACAAATATTAACATTATTGGCATAGTTGTTCCTTGCGTCCTTGACCATTAAGATCTTTTCATTTCTATTTATAATATTTTTGTTGGAAACAAATGAAATACAAAGTCGTAACAGATATCATAATATATCCAAAAACACCCGACCGATCAAGTGTCATTGATCAGTGGTCTATTATTATAATGTTCACTGTTTGAAAATCTGTCGAACTTAGGATCAAAATGTAATTTTGCGAGACAATAATACATTTGGAGTTTTGGAAGATGGTAAGTAGAAAACGCCATTTTCTTATGCATCTTCCCGTCTTTGTCCACCGCCAAGCTAGTAGCCAGTCTCTAGTTAATAATTTATTGCTTTGCCATGTAATACATTCATATCAAAACTTGCAGGTTACTTACGTTTAAGATCTTGTTTTATGTTTACAAGGAAACAAAAAGAGAGAGTAGATCATTGAATATCTAGCATCTTGTTTCTTGTACCATCTTATCGTAATCAATGAACACAGTGTGAGAAACCTGGACTGCGTACACTGCATTCATGAGTTCTACTGTTTCATCACCCCTCAACAGCAACGACCTGTAATTACTTTTTACCTTTACATATATTTTATACTTCTCTTGGTGATAATACATTAGAAAATTTATTTTGTTTACAGAAAAAAACAACCGTGACGCATGGTGTTATGAAACAATACATTACATGCAGCAATATGTATACATAAGTTGAGATTTGGCAATCACAATGATATGTAACAAGAGGACCACGATGACGCTCGCGAAATTTAATTAAAACGGGGACCGGTTTATATTAATTTGACCTGTTGTACATTAATCTTGACATGCATTTATTTTACGTGTGATGTTGACGTTTGCTCGATCCAGTACTACATTTATATCTTTCTGATGGAACACGTATCTGTATTAGGGCTTTTGATATTTTCTCTTTAAACCAGTTTAGTCTCGTGATCCGTTGGGATTATTGATTTTCATGTCAGTATAAACTACACACATGTTTCAGAAAAATCAGTTAAATCGACTTATTCACTAACCGAGGCTTTTAAAGCCTACGTCGTCCATTTCACTAAAGACAATCTTCAAGAAAACGGTATATCTAAAGCTTAAGGTAAAAGTTTGGATAAAAAATCATATGCAAAGTAATCTTTTTTTTAATCAAAATGCAAAGTAATCTAAAGTTCAGAAAAAGAGATTAAATGAAACGAATATATTCTTTTGTTGAATTTAAAGTATAAAACACTTATTAACTGATAAATAATTGAATATATATGTTTTTACCAAAATAATAATAATTAAATATATATGTAGATAGTGTAGACACTAGACAGTTCGTACGTATGTCTACTTATCTATTAACGTTATAGCTGTTTTTGTAAATGTGTTTCCTGCATTTGATAAATAATATAACAGAATCACTACGTTACTTAACTTATATGCATAATATGACGTAGGATGACTAGAGAGAGATTAATCCTAGTGATAAAACAATTAGTAAATGATTATATATGAAAAAGTAAATCCAAGTCAGCGAGAGACCTGCTAAACTTCGAACTTTATCTGAATGTCTTATAGCAAAGATACTATTCTCCCATCTGATCATGTTTGATCAAATATTAATTAACTGATAAACAATCCAATTTACATACTTTTATTCACGGACATCACATGAGTCATGAATCATCTCACGTCACATTTTCTTAGAACATTGCACAATCAATCAAATACTGTTATTATAATAGTGTTTCTGCGATCTATTAAAGATTTGTATGGAAGAAAAAGATCCAGCTTCATATGCTATAGTGTATTTTTGTAACGTTCTTTGGAAAATCGATTTAAAATAATGATTACCGTATAGGGTCCACGTTGATTATAAGCGTAAAAACGACAGAAACGACGTCGGCATGAACAGAGAAAAATAGTTTTAATTTTTGTTTATCACATTCCGTGCAAAATTACATATGATATATAATTTGTATTTACGAAATCAAGAATCCCATAAAAAGATAAACACTCTCACTATCACAAAGTCTCTCTTTTAAGTGACGACGATGCATGAGCCTAACTAAACAATCATGACGACATTCTCCGCCGTTATCCGCCGTTATCTCTTCCTTCTCACCGTCCTTCTCTGTCACCGCTCTCTCGCTCTCAACACAGACGGAGTTATTCTCCTCTCACTCCGTTACTCAATCGTCAACGACCCTCTCTCCGTTCTACGCACCTGGAGACTCGAAGACGAGACCCCTTGCTCCTGGCGCGGCGTCACGTGCGACGACTCCACCCGTCACGTGACCGTTCTCTCACTCCCGAGCTCGAAGCTCTCAGGTACCCTCCCTTCGAACTTAGCCTCTCTCCCTTCCCTCCAACGTCTCGACCTCTCCAACAACTCCATCAACGGCTCTCTCCCCGCCTCGCTTCTCAACGCGACGGAGCTACGGTTTCTTGATCTCTCGCGAAACCACATCTCCGGCGAGTTACCGGCCAAGTTCGCGGCGGTTTCGAACCTCAACGTCTTGAACCTCTCCGAAAACGCACTCGTCGGAGAGTTACCGGCGACGTTGGGATGGTGCCGGAGCTTAACGGTGGTTTCGCTGGAGAATAACTTCTTCTCCGGCGAGATTCCGGGAGGTTTTGAGACGACGGAGTATCTCGATCTCTCGTCGAATCTGATCAGAGGCTCCTTGCCGTTACGTTTCGGAGGGAATCGGTTACGTTACTTCAACGCCTCGTTCAACAGAATCTCCGGCGAGATTCCGCCGGGTTTCGCCGACGAAATTCCGGTTAACGCTACCGTGGATCTCTCTTTCAATCAACTAACCGGTCAAATCCCCGGTTTTCGGGTTTTAGATAACCAAGAATCCGACTCTTTCTCGGGTAACCCGGGTCTTTGCGGGTCCGACCCGGCGAAACACCCGTGCCGTGACGGTGAAGCAACAACCTCTCCACCTCCAACGCCAACACCGAACTCTCCTCCAGCATTAGCCGCTATACCGAATACATTAGAGTTAACCGATCATCCCAAATCCGGTTCGAAATCAAAATCAGGACGTAGACCGGTTATTATAGTAGGCATTGTTGTCGGTGACATAGCCGGTTTAGCGATCCTCGGGATTGTGGTTTTCTACATTTACCAGTCTAGGAAACGGAAGTCCGTAACCGCTACGTCGAAATGGTCCACGTCATCAACAGAATCCAAGGTCTTGTCTAAATGGTACTGTTTACGTAAAACCGTTAACGTTGACGGTGACTGCGAAGAAGAAGAGGAGGAGGAGTCCGAGAGTTCGGGATCCGATGAAGAGTCTCGGGTCGGGCAAAATAGACGGTCAGGATTAGATGATCAAGACAAGAAAGGTACATTAGTGAACCTTGACTCAGAGAAAGAGCTTGAGGTCGAGACGCTACTCAAAGCTTCGGCTTATATTTTGGGAGCCACCGGTTCGAGCATAATGTATAAAGCGGTTCTTCAAAACGGTACGGCTGTGGCGGTTCGACGTATCGCTGAGTGCGGTTTAGACCGGTTTAGAGATTTCGAGACTCAGGTTCGGGCCTTGGCTAAGCTGGTACATCCTAACCTGGTTCGAATTAGAGGTTTCTATTGGGGATCCGACGAGAAGCTTGTTATTTACGATTTTGTCCCTAACGGCAGCCTCGCTAACGCACGTTACAGTAAGTCCTTCTTTCTCCGTTCTATATGATTTTACAGTTTACGTTAGTAGGATTATGTGTTAGTGAGCTAACGTGTGCGTGAGAGTGAAACCTGTCGGTTTCGGTAGTCAGAGAGTTGGTTCCAACTAAAAACATGTATGTCAGTTAATGCTCGGAGGAGAGTCAACGTCAATTCTCAGAACTGATTTTTTAAATAGTTTTTGTTACTATGTCAAATGCAAGATAATGACAGTTGTGTTTCTGTGAAATCTTACTGTTGAGTAACTTGAGTCCATATATAGTGATTTTGTTGTTTTGTACTGGTAGATGCAAGTGCTTTTGCTCTTACTTTGTCTCTTTGTTTAGATAAAGAATCAGTAGGGGACTCACTAACTTGCGCATGTACGTCTTCGTCTAATTTTTGGGCCTGTGTCTTTTCTTTCTTATAATGGCAGGGAAAGTGGGCTCCTCGTCTTGTCATTTACCTTGGGAAGCTCGGCTCAAGATAGCGAAAGGTATAGCTCGCGGGCTAACGTACGTACACGAGAAGAAGCACGTGCATGGGAACCTCAAGCCAAGTAACATCCTTTTAGGCTTAGATATGGAGCCAAAAGTTGCGGATTTTGGACTTGAAAAGCTTCTAATAGGAGACATGAGTTACCGAACCGGTGGATCGGCTCCAATATTCGGAAGCAAAAGATCAACGTCATCTCATGATTTTGGGCCGAGTCCGAGCCCAAGCCCAAGTGCAGTTGGATTGCCTTACAATTCTCCGGAATCCCTCAGGAGCATAAAACCAAATCCAAAATGGGACGTGTACTCTTTTGGAGTCATTCTCCTCGAGCTGCTAACGGGGAAGATCGTGGTGGTTGATGAGCTTGGACAGGTTAATGGGCTTGTGATCGATGACGGTGAGCGGGCGATGAGAATGGCGGATGCGGCTATACGAGCTGAGTTAGAGGGCAGAGAAGAAGCAGTGTTAGCATGTTTGAAAATGGGCCTAGCTTGTGCTTCTCCAATACCACAGAGAAGGCCCAATATCAAAGAAGCCTTACAAGTTCTAGAGAAATTCCCTTTTCACTAGATGATAATAATTACTACAACCATGAAAGATTTAATAGCTTTGACTGTGTACTTAGACTTAGAGATTGATTATTCTGTGGCCTATCTGATTATTGAGTTTATTTTTCGTTTTAATGAGTTAGTGACAATAATTTATATGGGCCGATGTATTGGGCTTTAATGAAGCACCCGGATCCGAAATATTAGAAGCGGGTTTAGCAATATGAATTGGAAAACTCCGCTCTCTCTCATCTTATCAAATTTTGAAAAGAGCCGTTAGAGAGTTTGGGATCTGAGGAAGATGGCGACGAAGATTGGGATGATGGATTCAGCGTATTTCGTAGGGAGATCGGAGATTCTGGCGTGGATTAACTCCACTCTCCAACTTAATCTCTCCAAAGTCGAAGAGGTATATGAATCATTCTCTATTTCGAAACTTAGTTTTGGAGTCAGATCTTAGGTTATCGATCTTAAGGTTATAGTTGTGGAATTGAATACGGGATCTGTATAGGCTTGTTCAGGAGCAGTTCATTGTCAGCTGATGGATTCGGTACACCCTGGAGTTGTGCCGATGCACAAGGTTAATTTTGATGCGAAGAGTGAGTACGAGATGATTCAGAACTATAAGGTTCTTCAGGACGTGTTTAACAAACTCAAGATCACTAAGGTTCCTTCTTAATTGAGTATTTAAGGGGTTTGATTTTAGGTATATTTAGAGTTTGTAATTGGATCTGGTGAATTTGTGGATGTGTAGTACGTAGAAGTGAGTAAGCTTGTTAAGGGTAGACCGTTGGATAATTTGGAGTTTATGCAATGGTTGAAGAAGTATTGTGATTCTGTCAGTGGTGGTGGTGGCCAGCTTCACAAGTTAGTTTTTTTTTCACAAGACTTAGCCTTTGTCTTTATGATTCAAATGCATATACTCGTTTTCTGAAAGTGTTGTCTTGTATTTGGTTTTTGTGGTTTAGTTACCATGCATTGGAGAGAAGAGAAGGTTGTAAAGGAGGGAAAGAAGCAACTAAGAGAGCTGCAGCTACACAACAATCATCCAAGAGTTCTTCTTCTTCTTCTTCAGTTGCATCTAGACCTTCATCTTCTAATGGAAACCGTAGACATGATCCACCATCCTCCAACACTGGGAATCACCACTCTTCGAAAGCAACCACCTCTAAACAATCTAAACCGGTGCCTGCTGCTTATGATGAAAAAGTATGTGTTCTCTTTTCAACTCAATCAGTTCTGAAGCTATATCAAAGTTCACTAACTCACTTTTGGTTATCTCACAGATCACGGAACTGAAACTCTACATAGACAGTTTGGAAAACGAGAGAGACTTCTACTTCTCTAAACTAAGAGATGTTGAGATTCTCTGTCAGAATCCTGACGCAGAACACTTACCTGTATGCAAAACCTTCTCAGTCTCTCGTTTTGTTTCAATGGAATCCCTTCAGAATGTCTCAGAATGTTTTAATATAACAATCTGTCTTTTTGTTTTGCAGCTTGTTGGTTCCATTAAAAGGATACTCTACGCAGCAGATGGAGAAGACGTTGGAGCAGCACCAGAAACAAGAGAGACACAGACCTTAAGCTCTACTGCTGAAGGATCAGAAGAGAGAAGGAGCAGTGGAATAGAGTCGCAGAAGAGGAAACTCATAGTGAATCACGAGGTGGATGCTGCAGCGATGACAAATCTCTCTCCAAAGCAACGCCTCTCTGATTCTTCTGATGTTAAACGCACTGGATCATCTCCTCTTTTGACCTGCTGAATCAGAAATTAAAAAACAAAAACGAACAAGTTACTTACACTAAAAAGATTCTCTCTCAGAGAATCTGTTCTATGTTGTCCATCACTTTTTTTATTATAATAACCTATCATTTTGATGTGTGATCCTTTACATGCTTTGGCTCTTATTGATTGGTGAGCCATAATAATATTATGTGATAATCTTAGAAGCAAAAAGGTTATCCTAAGACTAAGGCTAAGCCAATCAATGTTTGGAAGACAAAAGTAAGAACCGGATGTTGCGTTTACCGATAATTAATCTGCTCTTTCGTTTATAATTTTTTTCCTGATTTTTATAACTTATTTTTCTCCTAAACTATCTTACAATAGAATTCTTATCTCGAACCTAAAGGCCATGCAGGTATGTTTCTTCTGTATATATTTTGATTTGGTATGCAGATTTTAATTTGGTTTTAGTTATAAATAAAAAAAAGGAAATGGATAACAAGAAAATACAAGAGGATGGATCAAAAGCAGTGGTGGCTGAGACAACGGAGCAACGTTCATCAGCAGGTAAAGGCCCAGAGCAGAGGAAGGTAGAGGTGGTTCACCAATCTCATCCCAAAACTAGTGGCGGTGTTCTTGTTGGAGCCGCCGCTGCCGTTGAATCCACCCTTGAATCTGCCAAAAAAGTCATTTCTAAAACCTAAACATGTAAATTATGTAATCCAAAGTACTTAATTATTGTATAAGTTTCATACTATATTTTGTAATCTCATGATAATCAGAATCTCTAATATCCGTTGTTTTCACCCATTTGTCTTTGTCACTTTTTATTGATAGCAAAATTTCTATTTAATATTTTATTAACTTAGAGAACATGAAAGTATGACAATACCATTCAGACAATATGTTAACTTGGTTCTATATATGCATATGTCGTTAAAAAGTTTGTATACGGATAGTTCCACATATGCTATTTAAAAAACTTTATAAAAAGTTAAAGAGTAAAGTTGAATAAAGTAGCTGCAAATCTTTATTCTTATGGAATAACTCAACATGGCAGAGCCTTATTCCCTTCCTTTTGTTGTGCTCTTGTTCTTGTATTGTATTGTATGAAAAGTGCTTGTGTTAGTCACCACCAACAACACAACTATCCCAAAAATTTCAGCCTTTGTCGAATTATTAAAGATATATATATCTAAAGAGATAGTAATGGTGTAAATTGGTGATGGTGGGTCTTGAATCTTGATGCTAATAGCAGAATCATATACACATAATAACATATAAAAATATGTCAGTATCTATATGTGTCTGAAACTCTGATAAATATCCACTGAATTTTCACATGTGGTGCTTAAAAGCTATATAAACATATTTATTGTCTTTTGACAAGACATGAGACAATAATTTTAGTCATGGGAGGTGTTACAATAACATACATACATATATGTATCAGATTTCTTTTCACCTTCAAGGATAAAAACAAGACAAGTACTTGAACCACCCTCTGTCTGTCTCAAAATCCTTTCATTTCAAATCAAGATTTCCCCAATAAGTTAAATAATAATAATTTTAATGAATCAATTATGGAAAAAAAAAAAACAACAACCACTCTTCTTTGCTTGGGTCTCTCAAAAGGTACAGTTGAGGTTTTCTTTCACAAGTTTACTAGCCAACAGAAGAAATCAGATGTTTCAGGTTTTCATTTATTTCAACCACTCTTATCTTTTCCAAATCTTATCTCCCTAAAATTAAAAGAGGTCCAAGTGTTTTCATAAGCAGACATTTGACATATCAGAGGAGAGAGAGATATGTAGAGAGACTTTTTACTTATCACTATTACTGATGGTTGTTTATCAGTCAATACTCAATCTAAAGTCTAAAGCTCCATCTAGTGTTTGCTGAGATATAAAGGACAATATACTCTCTTCTACATTTAACTTTAACATAATCAGCTAGCAGAATCATGTATAGAGAATAAAATTTAATAGATAGAGTTAGATTTTGGAACTAGCTTTAAACACACAAAATGTTCTACCTTAAATTGTAGCCATAACCGATGATGATGATACGCAAAATAGAGAATGAATTCATGTTTTTCAGATATGACACATTTGATTTAATGAAAGGTACTAGCGAGGACTACTCAGCACATTGAGAAACATAGGGTTTATTGAAGGCAACCTCATTTGCTGCTCATGTACTCTTCTCCTCTTGAGCAGAGGCTCTGGAGATGATGAAACTGAAACAGCAGAGACATTCCAGGATCCATTTGAGCTGTCATCAAGGTCGAATACACCGCTTAGACTGTCCTGATCAAGCCAATTCATCATCCTCTTCTTGCTTGATTTGTGCTCCAACAATAGTTCATAACATTCATTAACTTTCTCCTGTGAAGCCAATGCTGAATCAGTATAACATTAGCATTATAGGACTAATTACAAAGTTCTTCAAGCACTGACCTGATTAACTTTGAGTAGAGTCATGAGGTGGGATTGATATTCAACTTGTTCACATGGCTTCAAGTCCTTGATGACATGAATCATTATCGCAGTTGCTAACACAGAAGGGATGTAACGCATAAACCTCGTATCTGTAACAACGGAGATCAAAAGACGCTCACAGTTCCTAAACAACTCCAACTGCTGGTGACATTCAGAGCCTAATCTCCGGACAATGTGATCAAAGAACGAGATTGGAGTCACAGGGTGCATCCTCCACTGAAGTGTAGACAAAACCAAAAGCTCCATTCTTTGTATGGTTTTAGCTTCAAAGACATATCTTGCTTCCTCCACCTAAACCACAAACAAACAAACCACCTAAGAAGTTGACTTTTCAACAAAACACTTATAAGAGAGAGAGAGAGAGAAGAAACTAACTTGGAGATGAATAAGCAAAGGAACATGAATCTCTTCAACTTTAGCAGCTAAAGACAAACAAGCCACAGCTACAAGCTGAGACATCCATGGCTTATCTGTCTGAAACTTAACACTTGTGATAAACCTATCGAAGTAGTTCACAGCAAGCAGAGCCGTCGTTGAAGTGAACCCATAATGAGATTTAACCCTTAAAACCCAATCTATAGCCTCTTTCCGACAAGAAACCAGACACTCATCTAATGTCTGGTCATAGTGATTCGTTTCATTTTCCTTTGAGATTAGAGACATCAACTCATCGTCATCCCATAAAAACATATCCTTTAGAGGTAAAAACTGAGACTTTACGACATTTTCATCAGATTTCTCGAGAAAATCATCATTCTCCACGAACCCACATTCTTCCTCGCAGTAGAGCACATCAAGGGCGCAAAACGGTGCGTTTTGACCGGTTTGTGAGTCTTCTTGTTCTTTCTCCAAAGCCATCTTCTTTTTCTTCTTCTTCTGATGAGAAGAATAGATTGCAGATGTCTCTGTTCATTCTGCCATTGGGGAGCTGGTTTCGTCGACAGATTCTAGAGTGTGAGAGAGAACGTAAAAATAAAAGAACAAGAGACCGGACAAAAGCCAAGAAAGCGAATGGTTTTTATTTTATCTTAACGCTTTGTCTTTCTTTTTTTTTATATATAATAGTTTTCTTATTTCTCTCTTTAGTATATTCGGCAAGTATTGCGCGCGAGAACTTTGATTTAAATTTATATTTCTCAAATTAATTTAGAAAAAATAAAGAAAATCCCTGCTGCCTTTTATTTAATTATTATAAAATATACTCTCAGTTTTTTTTTTGTTTTTTTTTATTATAATCATTAAAATTTGTTATTTTGTTCAATTCTCTAAAAAATGTTGTAATTTTATTTTATTTTTGTTTGTCTCTAGAGGTATGTAAATTCTGAACATGTCAGGAAAGGTGGGAGTATGTAAGATTCTAAATACGGGTGATTTTTATTTGTATAGGATATACGTATTTCAGGAAACATATAATTTTTTTTGGATTCGTAATGTGAATCTAATTATTTGTTTACGAAAAAAAGAACCTAACTATTTTATTGGTCGTGGTATTTATTATAGTCACGTCTTTCTTGATACATAGCTTTGCAGATTCAGTATTGTGATATTGTGGTCCATTGTACATAAGATTTAAAGCAAAGTATCATTCCATTGAAATTCTCGATGTTTATTAAAAAATCTTTATGAAAACGATTATATAATTTGAACTAGCCTCTCTGGTTTATCTAAAAAATCGAATTCGATGCCCAAAAAGGCGATTAGCACTTAGCAAATCATTTTAAAATATATACTTTGTCATTTACAATTAAATTAGATTATCAGAAAAGGATGTTTTAATCTTCAACAACCACATTACTGGTTGAGATACATTGATCTTAGCCTGAGTAGTAGGAACCTCGTTAAAATACAAATAATTTTCAAATTTTAACTGGAAACAAATGTTTAAAACTATCAATACTGTGGTAGACATAAGTAAATCACGAGAGGGAAAGATGTGAGGCCATTGGTAACAAGCAAGCAGCGATGTCTGAATCTGAAAGATTATTACAAAGTTCGATAGCGACTTCTCATTTCCAGCTTTCACATCTTATATTTTGCTTCTAATAAATGTCCCCACCTCTTTGCATTTTCTATCTTTATCCTTTCATACGATGGAAGCTGTAAACCAGTCAATGTAAAGTGTAAAACAAAAATGAAAACTAATGTAATTATTTCCAGTTAAAGGTATCAATAGTTTGATATGACATCAATGGGAAGATATGATCAAAGAAAATATGGTAAGAAATGATGTCAAACAAAATAAATACTGATAAAAAAAAGAGTAAATAGAGTGTCAAAACGGAAATAAATATTCCGACACTATATGAACGTACTCCTTATTTACATAACTAAAGTCATAAGCAGTTAGCTAAAAGTTCAAGTACTCATTTATGATTCAACTAGATGATAACCCGCGCCATGCGCGGAGTGAGCTTTTTAAAAATATGTTGTATTTAAATATATATTTTGCTATCATAATTTTTTTTACATTTGATTAGAGATAGGCATTTGGATACCATTTGGTTCGGTTAGATTTTGTTTGGTTTAGATCTTTGCGGTTTGGTTCGAATTTTTGCAGATTCAGATTGGGTTTAGTTTCGGATAATCCATTTATTTTTTTATAAAAAAAGATTGAAATTCATATATACTTTAAAATTTTCAAAATCTAAAAGTAAAAAATAATATATAACATATAAATTTGAAAAATGAATGCCAAAATACTTAAACTTAACATAAAATTGCTTTATCATAAATATTTGGAAAATAAATAAATAAATATTTTAAATATTTTTGGTATTTGGAGTATCGTTTAGCTATTTTTTNACATTTTAAAAAATATATTAATATATTTAAGTATATAAATCTGGTTCGAGCACTTGGATACCTGAAATATTTCGATTCAGTTTTTGGTAATCTAAATACCAAAATTTTGAATCCGTTTGGATATCTAACCAATTTTGGTTAAAAATTTGTACTACTTTTTGGATTAGATTTGGTTCGGTTATTTGGATTCAGTTTTTTTTGTCCAACCATATATTTTTTTATTATACCAAAAATTTAAACGAAATGGATGATGGTTCATACTGATTTCGGGTATGCAACAATTTTTAAACAAAACACACTCTATTATGCGTGATTTATTTAGTTAATCAATATAAACTATTTAAGACCCATTAGAAAAACGATTGGCTGAACTAAAAAACTTTATCATTGATCAAAAAAATTTCAAGGTGAGATTTTTAATAATTTATGGTCGTTTTAAAAAATTCAAAATATAACATATAAGAACAAATCTAATTTTTTTTTATAGGATCAATGTGATTTTTTAATTTCTTTTAATAATATAAAATTAAATAAAAAGTAAAGAGGATAAAAATTGTTATCAAATCTTTATTGTTCATAAACATTAATTGTGATATATATGTTAATCCTATTAGGTAATTCCGTAGATTTTATTTAAGGAAAGAATAAGGAATATTCTTTTGTACATTACTAATCAAATA